AGGACATCCTCCTACACACTCCACCATGCATCCCAGATAACAATGTATCAAGCTGTGCCTGACTCCATCACGCATCTGCATGACTAAGTATTTATCATATTTCTCCGTTTTAACACCGGAATAATCTACTAATGGCCCCAATTCGGTGAAATTCTGACAACGTAGAGATAACAGATGTATTGAGTTACTCTGTTGGAATCGTCATTTTGAGCAATAATGATGGCAGTATCTTCGATGCACCAAACATTTGTAATACGAGGCTTTAGTGATCTGTCGCCAAATGATGTGGCTGTTAAATTAGCGAAACAAAGGATTCTATCCCATTCTGATTATCCGTGATGATAAAAATTAATTAGAAAAAGGGGTAATTAGGATGACATTTGCACTAGATTCATGATCGTGTCTTTAATTAACTTGATATATTTTTCATTTTTTTTTTGAGACAAGAATAATCTCAGCGGAAAAGAGTGAAAATGTCATGAAATAGAAGGAAGGAACGTTGCGTATAGATTTATAGATTTATCACGTATACGGCCCGGTGCATTAAATGTTAGGTGTCCCTTCAAGCCGTGATATCGGCAGCCAGCTGTGAGTGACAATGCTGCTGGATTCATTGAAGAAAGGAAAGTGCGGGGTGCTAATGACTTGTGAACATTTCCACCTTATGAGCATGCAGAGTTTTCAACCAAAACACCTTCTTCATAAAAACCTTTATTTATTTTCTGTTTAACCCCTTGATGCTGGCACCTCCTGGCCCTTTAAGGAGCTTGTGATGCCGGGATGCGGGGTGGGGGTTAAGGGTCATGTACCTGCCGTGATTGGCTGTCACAGTGGACACATGACCGGAAAGGTCCCGATCTCAAGTAGTGATTGGGACCTTTCCATGAGGTGCTGGTAAATGCCGGGAGCGCGCTCTTGGCACATGTTGGTTTACTTTTGGTACGCAAATATGTAAGCGCTCAGCGTCAAGGTCTAGCCGCTGAGATTCCACATATTTGCGTGCTGTCAGTGTCAACAGGCTAATAACATTTTTTATTGAAAAGTGAGGCACATGTACAGCACAGCGAACATAATACGGCGATAACAGTGTTACAAAAACTGGAAGAGAAAATTGTCCACAAGGAATAGCAGATACAGTAGTATAAATGTAAAACGTGACACATTATAGGAAAACGCAGTTAGAAGATCTTTCAGCTACAGGCTCAAGAGTCCACTTGGCTGGCCACTCTATTAAGGCCCAGGGGGAGGGAGAAAAGAGAGCTGGGCCAAGTGCCAGCACGGGCCTGAGCAAGCAAAGCGTGAAGTGCCATTCCACACAAGGAAAACACCTGCAAGGGTCCGACATAGCGTTTTAGCCATTTTTCCAGATATAAATTAAGGAAAGAAAGTAAGAAAAAGACAAGTAAAGGGAGGAAGAGAGTGAAGAAGAACAAAGCGTCCAACATTGGGTCTCAAAAGTAATTATCGAGAGCCTGTTGGCAGTTGCAGTCTGTTTCCTCCTCTGTAGTTGGCGCTTGAACCGAGTGGTACAGCAACCTGGAGAGGAAGTCCAGGAGAAGCACAGTTTCTCTATGGTTTCGTGAGTCAAAAGAGCAGCGTTCCAGTTGGCTACACTGCAGCCATGTTACCCTTGGTGACCATCTTGGGTCAGCAAGGTCTTTATAAGACCTGGCCCCAGGACATTGGATCACTTCTGCGTGTGGCTAGTATAGGGAGAGAGACCCCACTTACTAGGGAAAGTATTAGAGGTAGGGAAAGGTTCCTGTCGAGGAGGGAAAGATCAGGGACTTGCTAACCTGGAAGAAGCCCCTGCTATGGGGACCAGACTGGCCAGGTGACACTTCTCTCTCTGCTACAAGCACTGTTGGCACCTCTCCTCAGCTACATCTTTGACCGCATTGAACTGAGAGTTGATTCCCTAATGGCACTCTCCCGCTAGGGTGTTTGTAGCAGTGGCATTCCTGCTTAATACAAGTTCAAAGTTTTACTGCAACCAGACTCTATGTATTCACTATCCGCACCATGCTGCACCTTCCCACAAGCCTAAAACCTAAGGAAAGGCAGGCATTCGGGGGAATCTGAGAATCTATCTAAGAAAACCACAGGTTTGGAAATGTTTTCATTGGCTATGGTCATGAGCTACTTTATTTGCATTAATAAAGTTTAATTCTGTAGCCCACTCTCAACTCAGGTATCATGGAAGGAAAGGGCTATCTCCGGCCATGCTCTACCAGTAATATGGTGGCCTAATTGAAAGACAACCTGCCCATAAAAAACATTTTCAGTTGAAGGGAAGGACCAAATTAAGATACCCAAAGACACAGGTCATTGGCCACACAGGTTAGATGTGGTGGCACAATTTTGAACTTACAGAGGGGTGTGGCTTGTAACATATGCATGCTTGAGTGACGGAGGTCCAAGGAGGATGAGTTTTGCCACACCACACCATAGAATGGAAGGAGAACATGGACTTGATGGGGCTGTACATTTGGCTGCTTTCTACTGAAGAGCCAGCACTTGGAGAGGAGTTGGACCAATCCAAGGAGAACAATATGTCTCAGTGTATGTGAGTCTGATCTTGCCAGGTGAGAACAGGTTATCTAATATACTGAATATCTAAACTTGTCACTCCAGTGGAAACTCCTCCTTTCTTTGGATTTGGAAAGAGTTGGGAAGGGATAGAACTTCTGTTTTATGTTCATTTCTACTTGGTCCCTGTAGAGGACGTTCAACCTCACTTCCTACCTTTTCACTTCCTGTTTGCCAGATTATTGTTGTGCTCTCTCCAGCCAGTATCTTGCTCTTGTCACTCCTCCTGCTGCCGATCTTATCTTCACTACTATTGACCTTGGCTTTTTCCTCGGCTATGTTTCCACTTGATCCCAACCTGGAACCAGTTGTTACTGACATTTGGCTGGTTTACTTACTACTCTTCTGCTTGATCCCAGCCTACAATATCTGCTACTGGACCCTGGCTCTTGCTCATCAACCGGTGGGGCAATCCTGAGGACCGTGACCTGGTACTAACATGCAGCAAAACCTATCTCCACTATCAGGAGCTCTGGTTAGTGCTTAGACCTGGAACTTTAGGTGAGCCCTCATCATCTGCCAGGTTGACCTGCTTGTGTACTTATCCTGCTGGCTGGTGGGAGCCTCTCTACTGCTATAACTACAGGTCCCCAAACCTGACCCCTGACTGTGACATCTCCACTCTACCCCAAACAAAGGAGAGAGGGCTTCCACTTTAACTATATTGATCAAGTTGCTTACTTCCCGTGACACATTATGTATATATTTTTTTTGCATATTAACACTCTACATGAAGATGGCGTTGGAGTTTACACTTTCTCTCTGGTCCAGCAGGAATTGTGATTTTTCTTATGTGATATCGGGGATTCTTAGCTCAATGGTAGATGCATTTTTAGTGAGTTCACTCCAGACAGGAACTAAACTTAAGGGCCTGGTAGCCCACTTTTATTAAATAGTAACTGAAAAGTCCTTTCAACACAAGCAGGGGATTTCAACTTCACTCAAAATAATACACAATGAAAATGCCAAGCCACCTGGCTCTCTGGTTAGCAGTACCTCTGCTTGGCTTGGTTTTCCAGACCACTGACTATTCAGGCTCACTCAGCCTAGGGGACAGCTCCTTACTCCTTACTGTTCAGGCCCTACATGGCCTCTTGAGTTTTCCCTGTACCTCAGCTTGCTTCCTCCAGAAACTCTCGGATTCCCTCCATCCCCTTGGCCTCTTCAGCTTCCTCAGCCTCCCAGACCCTCTCTTGGTCTCCCAGACTCTCATAGCTGGCCAGATTTTCCCAGTCCTTGGGCCCAGAATCCCCCTCACAAGGGTTGTAGTCTCCACCAGTAGCTTCCAGCTCTTCTGACAGGGCTCTGTCTTGCAACTGCTATTCCACCTCCCGCACCTTTGAGTTATGCTCAGATCTGCCTTATAACGCGTGTGTGCACCTGGACACACAGACACCCTGCAGAACTTCTGAAAAACCTGGACACAAGACTGAAGACTCTGTCCCACCCAGAGGCGGACTGACCATTTGGAAACTCGGGCACTTCCCGAGGGCGCGGGGGTCAGTAGGGGGCCCCATAAGATGCCCCTGGTACCTTTTTCATAGGCTTTTTTGAGTTTGGGCAAGGACACAGGGGCCCCATGATCCCCTATTGCCCGGGGGCCCCATGAGTTGTCAGTCCGCCCCTGGTCCCACCCAATACTTTTTGAAGCCTTCAAGTTTACAGCCCCGATCCAGACTTACCAAATCCAGGGAACACTTAAAACATAGCTTTCTCTGCTCGCAAAACATTTGCTGGAGCCTCTCAGACTGACTGTTTGAGAGTCCTCTGTCCTTCTCAACCCATTTCCACAGTGACAGAGCCTCATACAGTCACATTGCACACAATGATTTATGCTGGATTTGTGTGGGCAGAAAACAGGGACAAGGAAAGAAAGCCATTATGAACCATAGCCGGAGTGGGACCATGACCTAAGATGACCTAAGTTATGACTTAGAATGGCAAAGGGTGGCAAGCTGGCCTATTCAGGCTCCAGGGCAAGCAAAACAATGGGCTTTCTTGCTATCAGCACAGCAGTCAGGTGATATTTCAGCTGTGTTCTAAATTTCCGCTGAAGATATCTTCTGTCCCGTCTACGATTTAGCTGACCTGAGAAGGCCAACAGTACTTTAATGAGCTGCCGAGTACCTGTAACAACACGAAGAGCCATGAATGGTGGGCAGAGGTCAGTTCTTTATTCTGAGCATCAGAACCCAATTGGCGCGGCAGAAGCAAGGAGCGAACAGATTCGGTGAGTGTGTCTCTGTTCAGCTGATAGATTTTAAGCCATTCCAACCAATGCTGGTGGCAAATTGTATACATAATATCGTTTTAAATATGTTATATACTTGTTAAAGGAATACTTATAGGTTAAATGTAAATGTTTTAATAGTCTATAAATTGATTTTTTATGTAGGAATCATAAAGAAAGTACAGCATGCCTTCATACGGTAGACCTATGTCCAGGGGCGGACTGACCATTTGGAAACTCGGGCACTGCCTGAGGGCCCGGGCTCAGTAGGGGGCCCCAATGGATGCCCCTGGTACCTTTTTCATAGGTTTTTTTGAGTTTGGGCAAGGACACAGGGGCCCCATGATCTCCTATTGCCCGGGGGCCCCATGAGTTGTCAGTCCGCCCCTGCCTGTGTCTAAAATCTTAGAGATCATTCACACCATAAGGTGCATCTGAGCATGTGCATCTCTTGCGTGTTCCCATGCTCTGCATGTAGGGCAGCCCATTCATTTCAATAGGGCAGTCCTACGAGTGTGAATTGTGCAAAAATGGTGCAGGCATGATTTTTAAAATTGATCCGCTCAGAGGGGTATTTACCGTGAGGCAAACGAGGCGTTTGCCTAGGGTGGACAATTTTAGGAGGGGGGAAGGGCAGTGCCGCCCCCAGGAAGAAGGGACCCGGTGAGCAGGGGCAGACTGACCCATAAGGGGCTCCTGAGAGGATGTGGCAGGATGGAGTAAGCAGGTCCAGTCCTGAGAGTAGAGAGACTGGTAGGCAAAGGTTCAACAGAAGGAGAGTGGTAGTGGTGGCCCTGGGGGGAGTGTTTGGCAGAGAGTGGTGGTGGCGGGGCTCATGGGGGGTGGGTGGAGAGTCGTGGCAGCGAGGCTTGGGGGGGGGTTTGGTGGAGAGGGACGGTGGCAAGATGGGGGGTTTGGGAGTTGGCTTAGAGTGGCGGGGCCTGGGGGGTGTTGCCAGAGAGTGGTGGCGGTGGGGTAAGAAGGGAGGAGCCCAATTTTAGTGTTGCTAGAAACTAAATACACTACTGCTGCTGCTTTAGACCGTATACATACATAGATTTTACATGGGGTGGGGGGGGGGGGTGTCTTTTTGGGGATTCAATTGATTTTTGTAGCATTACATAATATAATCCTTTTTTTGAGTATTTTTCTGGTTGACCCATGGGTTGGGTTTTTGATTATTTTTTGTTTGTTTGTTTAATTTTTGTTTTTTTACACTTTCGTTATTAGTTTCCTGGGTAGTCTCAGTCGATATGTCCTTTTTTTTTTTCTTGCACTATTGATCTGAAGCAGTCTTAGACATATTGAATTCATGCTCATAGTCTTTATGTAGCTTTTTTCTCATGCTCCTAAGACACAACTGATGTTTTTTTATCCATCCAATGTATAAGTTCCCATAGCTACATTAGTTCCCCACCTCCATGACTAAGCCCTGGGGGCAGGACGAAACGCGTCGGGGACATGGCCTGGATGGAGCCGGGTGATGTGCTCTTCATCTGTTTGGCTTTTGTTTGGTGTGGGCTCTCTTTGTGAGTGTATACAGAGTTGGGATGGGCTCTCTTTGTGACTGTATACAGTGCCGGGATGGGCTCTCTTTGTGAGTGTATACAGAGTCGGGATGGGCTCTCTTTGTGAGTGTATACAGAGTCAGGATGGGCTCTCTTTGTGAGTGTATACAGAGTCGGGATGTGCTCTCTTTGTGACTGTATACAGAGTCAGGATGGGCTCTCTTTGTGACTGTATATAGTGCCGGGATGGGTTCTCTTTGTGAGTGTATACAGAGTCAGGATGGGCTCTCTTTGTGAGTGTATACAGAGTTGGGATGGGCTCTCTTTGTGAGTGTATACAGAGTCGGGATGGGCTCTCTTTGTGAGTGTATACAGAGTCAGGATGGGCTCTCTTTGTGACTGTATATAGTGCCGGGATGGGCTCTCTTTGTGAGTGTATACAGAGTCGGGATGGGTTCTCTTTGTGAGTGTATACAGAGTCGGGATGGGTTCTCTTTGTGAGTGTATACAGAGCTGGGATGGGCTCTTTTTGTGAGTGTATACAGAGTCGGGATGGGCTCTCTTTGTGAGTGTATACAGAGTCAGGATGGGCTCTCTTTGTGACTGTATATAGTGCCGGGATGGGCTCTCTTTGTGAGTGTATACAGAGTCGGGATGGGTTCTCTTTGTGAGTGTATACAGTGTCGGGATGGGCTCTCTTAGTGAGTGTATACAGAGCTGGGATGGGCTCTTTTTGTGAGTGTATACAGAGCCGGGATGGGCTCTCTCTACATCAGCACCCTTTTTTCAGTGCAAGTCACTGGAACCTGAGATGGAGACCTAGAATAGCAGCCCTTACGAAGTTCTTACGATGTATGGTCACATGCCTTTGGGCCATTGTACATGCATTTGGCAGATGCCATTAAGGATTTCATGAGGTGTATCCGAGCATGTGTGTTCCCACATCTTGTTTAGGGCAGCCTAGTCATTTTAATGGGCTGTCCTATGTGTGTGAAATGAGCAAAAAGGCGCCATTTTTAAAATAGCATATCACCAAACCGCATGGAACTGCGAAACATGAAACCATCTCTTCTTTCTAAGCCATATGACACCCTCCCAGAACTGGACAACTGCGCTGTAGTCATCATTTGGCGATAGCGCAGTTGTGAAGTGGTTAAATTGAACATAAAAATAAATACATTGAAGAAGATAAGACCAGCAGATAGGATGTAGGGGTGTAATATTTTAATAAATAAATAGCCTCGGCCTTTTCGTTAAGATCAAGTGTAATATCTGTTTTTATCAGTTTTTGGGAACGGTATGCTGGTGCCACTTGGTGAGTAGGGGTGCAGGTTAGTAATTACCAAAGTAATAAGGTGGGTATGGTGGGAGGGATCCTTTTCCTGTAGGGTTAATTCTGGCCTGGCGCAACAGACATGTCCCCGATTGAAGGCAAGACTCTTCCTAAGTGCTAAAGCATTTCTGGAAGGAATAGGGCTGCATCCCCTGGAGATGCAAGGAGCTTCTGCTGATGTGCCACCTGTGGGTGGGATCTCAGGGGCGCCAGACAAAACCACTACGGGTCTGGGTCCCCACTGAGTTTTCACTGGCACTAAGTTCGTGTCACTTTTGCTGCTTTCCACACACTTCTAAGACGGGCCTTCTGGCTAGCTCAGAGCAATTTGCTTGGCAAGGCCTACTTTGTACAACGCACATGGCACTTTTTTTTTTATTTAGTTGACTTATTTATCATGGAAAGTTACACTGCAGATGTGTTTATTGTTTTTTTTTTTTGCAGAGATGGAGGGTTCAGGCTTGTCAGGGCCTGCTTTGATCTCAGGAAGAGGATCTATGGCCCCCATAGGTCTGTCTTCAGGAGAGTCCTTACCAAATTCTTGACTTGCGCCAACTTTGGTAGGTACATAAAGAGCAAGGTTCACTTGGCTTCAGCCTAAGTAGATTATTGAGTACCTTGTCTCTGTCAGGAGCCTTGCAACCTGGGGGTGTAAGGAATTGAGGCACTTTATTGTTGAAGGTTGGTCCTATCTTGTACCCTTCGTGCACTTTTTTGTGTTCTGTGATTTCTAGTGTAGCGCTACCCCCAAAAGGGCCACTGGTATTTACTTGTTTTTGCTTGAAAGCACAGAGGCTGCTCACCACCACAAGTACCAGTCCATTCACACTGACCATTATAATAATGTCTACAGTCTGTCTTTTTTAGATTTATTGCTGTTAAAAACTTTAACAGGAGAGGGGATTAGGGCATGGGATACTCCAAAATGTTCTTCTCCTCACATCTCACAAGGCCTCACATCTGAAGACCACGGGGAAAGTCTTTAGGCATCTGGTTACCCTGCACCAATGCACAACTGTCAGTAGCCAGTGCAGTTTACAGAGCACTCCACAATCACTGAGATCAGTTTAGGGCCTTTACTTACAAGTCTCCAAGACAGCTGCAACCTTCTAGCTTCCTTGGGACATGGTCCAATGAGTGAGACAGCACCTCTTAAGACTGCATTTGGCTTCAAGCAAAGTCTATCCAGGCCCTCAGAGCTGAAACCTTCCAGCTTCCTTGGGACATGGTCCAATGAGTGAGACAGTACCTCTTAAGACTGCATTTGGCTTCAAGCAATGTCCATCCAGACCCTCATAGCTGCAACCTTCCAGCTTAGTTCAGACATGGTCCAATGAGTGAGACAGCACCTCTTAAGACTGTATTTGGCTTTAAGCAAAGTCCATACAGGCCCTCAGAGCTGAAACCTTCCAGCTCCCTTCAGACATGGTCCAATGAGTGAGAGAGCACCTCTTAAGACTGCAGTTGGCTTCAAGCAAAGTCCATCCAGGCCCTCAGAGCTGCAACCTTCCAGCTTCCTTCAGACACGGTCGAATGAGTGAGACAGCACCTCTTAAGACTGCATTTGGCTTCAAGCAAAGTCCATCCAGGCCCTCAAAGCTGCAACCTTCCATATTCCTTCAGACACAGTCCAATGAGTGAGACAGTACCTCTTAAGACTGCATTTGACTTCAAGCAAAGTCCATCCAGGCCCTCAGCTCTGACACAGTTGAGGCCTCTAAAGCAGCTATACAGTCCATAGGCTGCCTGAGGGCCCTGGAATCCTCCTGGGGAGAAGAAACCCAGCTCTCCAGTGCTTCACACTATTTATCACTATTCCAGCCCCTTCTGGGCACTCCTCCCTAGGGATTGGCTAGTGCATGATAAATATTCCGGTTGGTCATCTCCCACCCTAAGCTCTGGAAACTTCTTCCAGAGGCGGGGGGAAGCAATTAAACTCGCAGCCTGGCCTGGGAAACCCTGAACAGACCAGACCAAACAATTACCGCTCAAATACATAGAAATAGGTGCTGCTACCTCCCGGTGTTATAATGAGGCTTTATCACCGGTGCTCTGGCAGAGTATGTGTTTGTCATGACTAAGGCCGGATTGGCTGAAAAGCGTTGACATTTATGGCAGACATTTGGTACCCGCCAATAAACACAAGCCTGCAGATTATACACCGAAGTGCTGGCTTGTGACGGGAGTGACTTTGGGTGGGGGGCCATGGAACACAGCTCACTTTGGAGGGGTGGGGAGACCCCTGTCTCAGCTCCCCATATCCCTCTTATGTGTAAGTCACCCTGTGCCTGTTAGGGGTCCAGGGTGAAATCTCCTGATATTGTGTAGACATGTATAGGAGATAGGTTGGGGTTGTGGATTGTTTGGTGTTACCTGGTTGCATCCCATTGTTCTATTGTGTGTCTTGCTTGGGAAAACTATTATATGATGTATGTGTTTGTGTATTGGCTTGGTGGGGTGTGTCTGCTGATGTGTTTCTTGTTGCTAGATTTGGTTTGCCCCACCCTGTGTCCATATGCAGGGAGGGGAGAATTGTTCCCTTGAATGTAT